ATAACAGTTCATTATGAAGATCGAAAGCTTCAACAAATTCTTTGGCTAGACAATCACAACAAAATCATTCCATATCAACTCACAACAGTAACCTACGGCACTAGATCAGCTCCTTACCTAGCTGTTCGTGTCTCACTGCAATTAGTAAGAGATGAAGGCCATAAATATCCAAAGGCAACTCAGACAATCATAACGGGCAGATATGTTGACGACATATTGGGAGGAGCCGATTCTTCAGAAGAATTAATTCAAGTTGCTGAGAAATTAATCAACTTGTGCAAGGCCGTCGGGTTTTCCCTCGTAAAATGGCAATCAAACAGCCAATCACTTCTTCAAAAAACTTCACAATTATCAGTCAATCAACAAAAAATCACCTTCGAAGACTGCACGACAAAAATTCTTGGACTTTAATGGAATTCAAGCTCAGACACAACTGGATGTCCTGTTATTACAGGAGCCCTACTCCACGAATGCTGATTCACAAGGCTACGCAGTTAGAGGATTTGGCCAAGCCCTCGTCGCCGCAAAAACCCATAAACGGCAAAAACCCAAATCGGCTATTGTCGTCGTCAACCCTCTTCTTAAGATGCTCTATATCAATGAACTTAGTACAGCACACTGTACGTGTGCTCTTATTGAAGGGCTTGATTATTTATTTTACGCTATTTCACATTACTTTCAGTTCAAGGATCCAATCGAAGTTCACACCGAACACTTACAAAAGGTCGTAAGGACTCTTAAAGGCAAACAAGTTCTTATCTGTAAGGATGCGAACGTCCGATATCCTCTGTGGTCACCAGATTTCGACACCAGAGGGAAAAAGCTTGCAAATTTCTTCACCGAATTCGGCCTGGAAGTTCTCAACAAAATCGAAGAAGGTCCCACATACAGATCTCCAAGAGGAGAATCGTACATAGCTGTGACCGTAGCGACTCAGGGATTGTCACAGTCCCTTAGCAAATGGTCAGTCAAAAGAAAGTGGGTTCAGGGGTCAGATCACATGGCCATCAGAATCCAGCTTGGTCAAAATGGAATGCAGGGTAAAACTCACACAAAGGCAACCCGACGGTTCAAAGTCAAAGCAACTGATTGGGAAGCCTTAGGTAAGTTGATGCTCGAGCTAGAAAGCACACTTTTCATTGCTGGACTCTCCGGAGAACATTGATAGATTCTCTGACACTCTCGCAAATAGGTTAACAGATCTCTGCGAAAAATCCATGCCGCGTCGAAACGCACCAAGGAAAGCGAATCTCTGGTGGGACAACCACTTGTCCCGATTATAGCTTGATATTAGATAGACTATGAGAGTTCTACCACACTTTTTTTTTCAAAAGTGTTGTGGTAGAACTCTCATAGCTGTGGACGCGAAAAGTCGGGGACGAAGGTGTCTCTAAGGTTCTTGTGTTAGAATTCTTATAGCTGTGGACATAAAATGTGAAGGGCTTCTTAGGTTTTATTGAGGCGAGGGGTCGAGGGAGGATTCAAGTGGGGCGTTTTTGTGTGAAGTAAGAAAAAAAGTGAGGAGTTAGGCCTACCCGCTATTTATTAGGAGATTTGTTTCCAAAAATCACTAGTTTTGCTCCAGACATAAGGCATGTAAAATTGTATTATAGATATGAGAAGGTTGTTAATAAGCGATCAAGTTTACAAGTTATACATTCAAAATAGACTTGCGTTAAATCAAACTTTATGTGCAAAATTTAAACAAACTGCGCCAGAAGTGCATTTAGAATTGAAAAAACTAAAACCAGGAATCATTGCTGGTAGATTTGCTTCATATTTATTGGGGTATACTAACTCATATACAGATATCGATTATTGGATTATTCATCATGAATGTTTTATGAATAAAGATGATATAGAACAACAAAATGACTACTACAAAATCAATCGATACATTCATAATTGTGACACTCATGATATTCCTGATATAAATGCATTAATGCATGTGTTTAATCATCAAAGAACACCGCTACAAGTTATTCATATACAAGTCACAAAAGAAACATTTGATGTGTTATTTAAGAATGATCAAATGTTTATCGAGCCATATTTTAAATTTATTGATTTGATGTTTGATAAATAAAACATGTAAAAAGGGAATATTACCATTTAGTGGATATTATTTTGATATAAATAAAAGCACAAATTATAATTATCAAACTAAAAACACGTCAAGAAAAGTACTCTCAACGTATTGTAAATTATGGAGCACCTGAATCACTTGTCGCCATGTGTTGCAGAATATCAAGCAATATAAATTGAAGAAGCAATTGGTCATCATTACCATCATCATCATAATATTGAATGAAAAAATTTAATTAAAGTTTCATTTTTTTGAATGTAATTAAAGCTGAAAATTTTAACAATGGAAAATTATCCAAAAATAACGCACATCATTGATATGGATGGCTTTAGAATAAATAAAAAATTCTACTGTAAAGAAATAGCGTGTATTCGAGTTGAAAGCGGTGAGATATATTCAAGTCATTATAATATTGGAGAACATAGACTGTCACGAGAAGATTATACATCAGCACGCTTCAATACCATGTTTATCCATGGATTAAAAATGGATAATAACCACAATCATCAGAATCAAGGAGCAATTGATGATTTCTTGTGTGGCATCGATAAAGAAGCAAGTTCTTTAGGAGGAATCATAGGATACAAAGGTGGATCAGTTGAACGAAACAAACTCACATTCTTGGGAATTCAGAGTTATAATATTGAGAAGCTTGGATGTCAACAATTCGAAATACTATATAATCAATTGCGAGAACAACGTCTGGACTTATTTGAAATAATGGAAACATTGGATTGTCTTCAGCATGATGAATTGAAAGTTCGTAGGGGTGAATCAACTCCTAGAATTGCTCATTGTCCTAAGAAGGAGGTTTACGCTTTTAATCAATTTTTTGTAGGAAATATTTAATAATTATAATTTTAAAAAAATATATTAAATATTGTAGATAATTTTTTTTCTTTTCCAAATAAACTGTAAGATTGATGATATGTATGCTTTTGAATTATTTTTATAATTTAAAAAAAAAAACCTCTAATCCTAAAATATTTATAAGGTTTTTTTACCGATATTTTAAAAATTCACCGATAGAATCTTCAGATGTGAAGTCAATAGCTGATTTTTCACTATATACTCGGTGACAAGTGTACTTTTGTCAACTCCTAACGAAAGATTCAATTAAGGATCCGTCGCAATTAGAAATATGTGAATATCTTTAAGATCATAAGTACCAGTTGGAATTGTCATTGTACGCCATTCGTCTTTTACTTGATATCGAAATTTATTGTTGCCTTAATATATGTTTGGAATTGAATTGAATGTAAGAAAATCAATAAGTCCAAGAACGTAATGTTTTGTAGGTGATAATTCAATTGGAGGAAAATATGAAACAGCCAATAATGATGAATGTCCAGTATACTTTGCAACATACATGTTGTATTTCTTACTATGATCAGTTCTCAGCTCTTGATTTGGATTATAATTCTTTCGAGCCAAGTTTGTATATTTAACTATTTTGCTATAAATTATTTTATCTCTTTCATCAACAGCAAGTTTATTAGGTAGTTTTCTAACTAATAATTCAAGTAGCTCTGGTGTGCTTCTATAAACTCGATCAGCAATGAGAATTTTATCACCCTGAAAAACAATTTCTGAATCTCCAATATAAAGCACATTTTCTCGAAGTTTTCTTACGCTACACTTTGTATCCATATTTTGATTATTATCTCTAAGCATTTTTATGTATTTATTTATTGTTTCGGTGTGTTTGAGGGGGGTGCTTGACATCATACTCGATGTAGGCTTTTGTCGTTGATCTTCTTCTTCTTCTACAACTCCCATTCTTTCTACTGATCCCTCCTTTTCTCCCCCCACCACTCCTTCTTCCTCGCATATAGCTTCTCTGTCTTTTCCTTCTGCTGCTTTTTCTTCTTCTTCTTTATCTTGTACATTTGTATTTTCCATCATTTCACGTTCTAAATTATTTAAAGGAATTGGTCTTTTCATAGCTTTTAATGCTGCTGTAACTTCTTTGCTTTGATTGATTTCTTTCACGATTCTTTTTTTAGTGTTTTCGCTATCAATAGAGAGAATATCCAGCTTCTGACGATTAAATTATCTCTTCCTCGAGGTGGCATATTGCCTTTCATTCTTCTATATATTTACATTATCGTCGTTCAATGCTGGTATTTCAGGAGAGATATTTTTTTTATTGATAAGTTGATGTAATGGTGTTACTACGGGCTCCAAAAATTCATTTAATGAATATTCACTACCATTTTTCCCATGTTTAATCATTTCATGTTTTCGACGTATACCATCACTGACTTTCGTCAATTTCTCCAAGACATTGACTGCCTCCTCCAGTTGTCCTCTCAATTCACTCATATTGATGATGTTCACTTGACAAACAATTATTTACAAGTGTATATTTTCAGAATAAAGCATTCAATTTATACATATAAAACAATCAAAACCTCTTCTGCATCGTCCATTCTTGATTTCACTATCTTTATCGATGACAAGAAAAATATATTCATTATTATTCCAACATGAAGTACACAAATCTTTAAATTGTTAAAACTTCATATCGGTATTAACGTGATCATTATGTATATGCCGTAAATTTATTTCATCTTGTCGAAAGGGAATGGAAAAGTTTATATTATTTCGTATTAGATGTTTTGGGATTCTCGCATAAGTTTGACAAAGATAAAAACTATCAACATCTTTGTGACGACCCATACAAAAATATGCTCGAACATTATCTTGCTTCTCACGAGCTATATCATCAAATATCATAACGAAATTAAGTTGAGCATCATCTGTCTTTACAACTTGTTCATTATCATTAAATGGAAATAAACTAACGTCGTCAATCGGCTCGAGTAGTTTTTCCAAATATTTATGTTTAGGTTGATTTTATGATTTAGAATACAGATAAATATTTTCAAATCTTAATCCATTTGGATGAGTGATGAGAGCCAACAATGCATTTGTTTTTCCACAATTAGACGGTCCACAAATAACATGGAATACTTATGCTATTCATGAAATTGATTGGGGATGTGGTGAAGTTCCATATGATCATCTAAAAAAAGTCATAACGAATGCATTACAAAATGCAACATATATTTACGTTGCTGATGGTTTACAAAAAGATTTTTTCCTGAAATTTTCAACATCAAATCAAGTAATAATTGATATTTCAATTTTTGGATATGGAACATCGGGTATAACATCAGCGCACAAACTTGAATGTTGTACATATGATACAAAACATCGGGAAAATATCTTCAATGAACAAAATATGTATCGTTTGTTCCAAGTCAACTATAAATATAGTCAAAAACATCTACACTTTGAAGAATACGCGTTTCCATATGATTGTGCCAGACTCGCTGTACAGATGCAATGGTTCTATATAGATAAATTCATAAACTTAACATCAAGACAGAATTTTCTAAAATTTTTAAATGATCAGCTATAAATATGATGTGGAAAAAATTACATTCCATTTACATTTCAAGTATTATACAGTGTTCTGACTTCGAGTCGGCCGGACGAGCAAACTAAAACTAGTGGACTGTAATAAATAAGAGAAGAATAGCGAAACAGGTTGGATGCCAGAAGGTTCCTCAAAAATAGTTCATTAACACCAAATTGTATGGTTTTTTTCACTTTTATTAACAATTAACAATAAAACTAGTTCAATAGAAAGCACTAATCACTAAGGTTTATTGAGTTGTCCGTAATTCAACTATTTCTACACTTGTGAATTGTCTGCTGGTCAATGTTTCACCAAAAAACGTCTCAAAACAGTGGATAGCAACATTCACGGTTTACACCAGAGTTGTTCGGGTGTGCGATGTATATGTGAATGTCCGTGAGGCACTATGGCGTCGACGCCAGTTCAGCTTCGCGCCCAAAGACACTACAACTGACTGTACTGGACCACTGGCACTGATGAGATTGATGATGAAGCTTCAATTATGTTCACTAGAGTTGTCTGAGTCTGTTTGACCGTAAATTTAACTACAACGGGTGAGCTGACTGCAAAAATCTGCAATTTGACTGCGAAAGGTTGTACAGAGATGACCGCGTGATTTGCCTGGAGCTAACTGACGCCACAAGTGCTCGATCGCGTGCTTGTTGGCGTCACTAGGGCCGTAGAGTTGCCTTCTGGGCTATAAGGAAAATACTTCCCGATGATTGGTCCAGTGAATTGACTGACGCGCCGGTAGACAAGTCCGGCATCAACAATTTTCGAATATTCTGAGACTTGCTGACTTGGGGCCCTCCAAGTCAGAACATACAGTAAACATTATGGGTGATTTTTTGATATTAACACTTACTGGACATTCATCATTATTGGAGGTTTCATATTTTCCTTCAATTGAATTATCACCTACAAAAATTATGTTCTTGGACTTGTTGATTTTCTTACATTTAATTCAATTCCAAACATATATAAAGGCAACAATAAATTTCGATATCAAATAAAAGACGAATGGCGTACAATTACAATTCCAACTGGTACTTATGATCTTAAAGATATTTACATATTTCTGATTGCGACGGATCCTCAATTAAATCTTTCATGAGGAGTTGAAAAAAGTACACTTGTCACCGAATTATATAGTGAAAAATCAGCTATTGACTTCACATCTGAAGATTCTATCGGTGAATTTTTAGGATTCGAACGAAAAATTATAAAGCAGGAGAAGTATATAAATCGGAAAAACCAACATCAATATTGAGTGTTAATGCAATATGTGTAGAGTGTAATATTACAAGTGGTGCATACATAAATAATCAATTTGCTCATACAATTCATGCATTTTTTCCATCAGTCCAACCAGGATATAAAATTATTGAATCACCTACAAAAGTCATTTATCTCCCCGTCACAGTGAGGGAAATACATAATTTACAGATACGAGTTGTGGATCAAGACGGAAAATTAATTAATAATCGATCTGAATCAGTCACTGTAAGGTTACATTTAAAGAGTATATAATGGTAATAGTTTATAATGATCATTTAGAAGAACAAAGTTATAATAACCATCAACCATGCGCAAATGTACACAGTTTAAAAAAGACAATCAAACGAGCAACATCTCAACAGAAGAAGACGAAAAAGAAGAGGAGAACAGTGAAACAACTGACTCCCCAGAACACTCAATTCCTAGAAAGTCTTGGTTTAGACTTAATTTAAAAATTGTTAAATTTAAATTCAGCTTGTCGTGCTCAATACCATGGAGGCGACGGCATTAAAAATTAATAAAAAAATTGTTCAAGATGAATCTATATCTCATTATGAGATTCATGCTCATCAACTATAAGGTTCATCATTATATAAAAACAATGATGAGATACGTATAGCTGTACAACATCAAGATTTATGTATTTTACCATGTGAAAGTTCAATTCATATCACTGGTAAATTTACAAAAGACAATGGGAGTGCTACATCAAACAAATCTTTACTTGCAACAATGTTTGCTTGTTTCTTATTTGAAGAAATGAGATATGAATTAAATGGAGTTGAAATTGATCGTAGTAATAATGTGGGCATTACAACACTCATGAAGGGATTTCCATCATTTACACCAGAGCAAGAATATTCTTTGAAAAACAGTGGAATGGTACTTGATAATAAAAAACTATGTGATTCCAATGGGAATTTTGACGTCATAATACCATTAAAATTATTATTTGGATTTGCTGAGGATTATAAACAAGTCATTGTTAACTGTAAACATAAGCTAATACTCATAAGAGCCAACACTGACTTGAATGCAATACATCAAACTGAAATAGCTAATGCAGCGGCAGAAAATGTAAAAATTACTCTTGATAAAATTGAATGGTTAGTGCCATATGTTACAATGTCTGATTCAAAGAAACTTGATATGTTAAGTTACATCAGTAAAGATCCATCGATATCGATACCCTTCAGATCATGGGAGCTATATGAATATCCATCTTTACCTATAACAACGAAACACATCTGGTCTGTGAAGACAACAAATCAACTAGAGAAACAAAGATATATTTTATTTTCATTACAAACTGAACGTAAAAATCAATTATCAAAACGTGCTGATATATTTGATCATTGTAAAATTAAAGATTTTGCTGTTTATTTAAATTCGCAGCGATATCCATATGCTAACATGAATATTGATATTTTAAATAGTAAATATGCACTTTTGTATGAAATGTATACGAATTTCTATTCATCTTATTATAGTAAAAACATTAAAAGACCATACTTAAATAAAGGTAATTTCATGGAAAGAGGACCATTCATTGTAATAGATTGTTTAAGACAAAATGAATCTATTAAAGCAGGACCAGTCGATGTTCGTCTTGAATTTGAAGCTACTGAAGTGTTTCCCCTGGGTACAACTGCATACTGTTTAATTTTACATGATAGAATAGTCAAATATAAACCATTGAGTAGACAAATTCGAAAATTGATTTAAAAAATAATTATATGTTTATATTTAAGTTTTATTTTAAAAATTTTAATCATTTATATATTTATTTACAAATAAAAAATTTTAGAGTTGAATTTCTTTAAAAAAAAAAATCTTATAAATATTTTAGGATTAGAGGTAATAATTCAAAAGCATACATATCATTAATCTTACAGTCTATTAAAAAAAAGAAAAAATTATATACAATATTTGATGCATTTTTCAATGTACATATTTATAAAAAACATTAACATATACATTTTTTCAAAATTATAATTACTAAATATTTCCTAAAAGAAATTGATTAAAAGCGTAAACCTTCTTCTTAGGACAATGAGCAATTCTAGGAGTTGATTCACCCCTACGAACTTTCAATTCATCATGCTGGAGACAATTCAATGTTTCCATTATTTCAAATAAGTCCAGACGTTGTTCTCGCAATTGATTATATAATATTTTGAATTTTGGACATCCAAGCTTCTCAATATTATAACTCTGAATTCCCGAGAATGTGAGTTTGTCTCGTTCAACTGATCCACCTTTGTATCCTATGAACCCTCCTAAAGAACTTGCTTCTTCATCACTGCCACACAAGAAATCATCAATTGCTCCTTGATTCTGATGATTGTGGTTATTATCCATTTTTAATCCATGGATAAACATGGTATTGAAGCATGCTGATGTAGAATCTTCTCGTGACAGTCTAAGTTCTCCAATATTATAATGACTTAAATATATCTCACCGCTCTCAACTCGAATACACGCCGTTTCTTTACAGTAGAATTTTTTATTTATTCTAAAGCCATCCACATCAATGATGTGCGTTATTTTTGGATAATTTTCCATTGTTAAAAATTTCAGCTTTAATTACATTCAAAAAAATGAAACTCTAATTAAATTTTTTTATTTAATATTTTGATGATGATGATGGTAATGATGACCAATTGCTTCTTTAATTTATATTGCTTAATATTCTGCAACACATGGCGACAAGTGATTCAGGTGCTCCATAATTTACAATATGTTGAGAGTACTTTTCTTGACGTTTTTTAGTTTGATAATTATAATTTGTGCTTTTATTTATATCAAAATAATATCTACTAAATGGTAATATTCCCTTTTTACATATAGTATTATCAAACATCGAATCAATAAATTTAAAATATGGCTCGATAAACATTTTATCATTCTTAAATAACACATCAAATGTTTCTTTTGTGACTTGTATATGAATAACTTGTAAAGGTGTTCTTTGATGATTAAACACATGCATTAATGCATTTATATCAGGAATATCATGAGTGTCACAATTATGAATGTATCGATTGATTTTGTAGTAGTCATTTTGTTGCTCTATATCATCTTTATTTATAAAACATTCATGATGAATAATTCAATAATCGATATTTGTATATGTGTTAGTATACCCCAATAAATATGAAGCGAATCCACCGGCAATGATTCCTGGTTTTAGTTTTTTTAATTCTTTTCTGACTTGGAGGGGCCCAAGTCAGTTAGTCAGAAATATTCAAAAATTGTTAATGCCGGACTTGTCCACCGGCGCGTCAGTCAACTCACTGGACCAATCATCGGGAAGTATTTCCCTCATGGCCCAGACGGCAACTCTACGGCCCTAGTGACGCCAACAAGCACGCGGTCGAGCACTGGTGGCGTCAGTTAGCTCCAGGCAAATCACGCGGTCAGCTCTGTATAAGTTTTCGCAGTCAAATCGTAGTTCTTTGCAGTCAGCTCACTCGTTGTACAATAACGTACGGTCAAATAGACTCAGACAGCTCTCACGAAGATACGTGAATCATCAAATTACTCTCATCAGTGCCAGTGGTCCAGTATATTCAGTTGTAGTGTCTTTGGGCGCGAAGCTGAACTGGCGTCGACGCCATAGTGCCTCACGGACATTCACCTATACATCGCTCCCCCGAACAACTCTGGTGTATACTGTGAATGTTGCTATTCACTGTTTTTTGAGACTATGTTATTTGGTGAAAAAATAACCATTAGACAACTCATAAGTGTACAAACAATTATGGTACAGTCAACTCAACTATATGTAGTGATTATTAAATTCTATTGAGTATATTAAGTGTTATTGTTGAATAAAATCTATAAAACCCAAACAGTTCAGTGTTAATAAACTATTTTTTGGAACCTTCTAGCATCCAACCTTTGTTCTTATTCTGCTTTTAATTATTACAGTCCACTAGTTTTCAGTTTGCTCATTCGGCCGACTCGAAGTCAGAACATTTGGTCCTTCGAGCCGGATAAGAACGGCTTGGATGCATATCGAATAACTCTAGAAGGTTCTAGTAGTGAATATTTTTCGGGAATAGTTAGTGAAATATTCATTCGCCATTGTTTGTGATAAGACAACTCTTAGTATTCTATTGTAAACAACCTTACAGACAAAAGGTGTTTACGCATTCCAGTGCCCAGTGACACTCATCTGTATTATTGTGAGACAGTGGTGCTCATCTCACAACTTAAACAATTTTTTGAGACGCTTGGCGCGCAGTTTGGTTGTGTGAGAGCCAAGATACCCTCGACGCAGTCAACTCACGTGTATATAAACAAAGTTATTAATTAGTGTAGTGTCCTTAGAGTCAGTTTAGTCACCTAAAATTATTATTCAGAGCTCGTAGACTCAGTTCAGAAATTTGTGTGATTCTTTTGGTGTTGAGACTTTCTTGAAAGCCCACCATTGGTATCAAGGTGACAACAGACAACTCTAGCAACATTTTTTTGTGAACTTTCTTAGTGATAAGTGTAGCGTTAGTGACATTAGACAACTCACTCAACTGAACAATGGCAGACAAACGGTTAATTTCGCCGGCAAAATCGGACTACGTTGATGTAGCCGAAGACAATGAGTCAGTTGAAGGTATTAGTGAGATATTAGAGCAAGTGAGTGTAAGCCAAGCACCATCACCAGTTCCAGTCGACTCTCAGGCAGAAGGTACCAGTGGAACAACACTTAAGGTTCCCGAAAAGGCAACAACATCACGTGACAGGTCCAAGTCACCACCTGCACTGGCAAACACCACGTTATTTAAACTGACGTCTCAAATGTCCAGGTATGAGCAGCTTCAATTTATGCACCAAGACGTGGCTGATCTTGTGCGACAGCCTGCTCTCGTCACAATGCCCATAATCGAGGCGAAACTGTCACAACTCAACGACCTCTGGACATACTTCGTGGTGGAGCATGAGGCATTAGGAGTAAGGTGTCGGTTGACACTCTTTAAACATCAGTATATGACCGACAGAGTGTATGAAAGTGCGTTACGGCTGCATTATCATATAGAGTCAACTCTCCATCGTGTAAAATCAGAGCTACACGAGAAAGACATCCAGAAGGCCATCGATGAGTACAAGGCCTCTACAAAGCAGTCAACTCCAATCATCTACCGACAGGCAACTCTCCCAGAGATCCCTCTCCCAACATTCGCAGGCGACTCATCAACGTGGACGCAGTTTCGGGACATGTTTACGTCCCTCGTCCACGATCGGGAAGATCTCAGACCAGTAGCCAAACTACACTACCTGAAGGCCAACGTATCAGGTCCCCCACTTCAACTGATCCGTCATGCTGTGATGAATGATGATGGGTATGAGCCAGCATGGAATCAGCTCAAGGCCAGGTACGATGACCCAGAACAACTCATCTTTGCCCACATCAAGGACCTGTTCAGTGTGACCACACCATCGTCTAAGTCAGCTGAACAACTCGACAACCTGGTAGGCGTGGTACGCCAAAACTTAGATGCCTTGAAGGCACTCAATGTCCCAGTCGACTCAGCAAACTACTTCTTGGTATACCTGGTGGCCAGTAAGCTTGAGCAGCCGCTACGTGAGTCATGGGAACTCGAGCGAAGTAGGTCTCGCTCACCGACAACTCTAGACAGTCTACTCAACTTCATCTCTACTCGAGCACGTGCGATGGAGTCAGCTCAAGATGCAGCCCGTCAAGCAAAACGGTGGCCTACTCCAGTGATCACCAGAAGGTCCAGATCACAACACCAGTCTACTCAACAGCAGACGACTCACCCACAGACAACTCGAGCCTCCAGGCATGCGGCGCAAAAACGACAAGCAGATTACCCGTGTGATCAATGCAGCAGTTTGGATCACTACTTGGTTGACTGCAAAGCGTTCGCAGGACTGTCACAACACGAAAGGTACAAGCTGGTCCTCGCAGCACGGCTGTGCTTCAATTGCTTCGGCCACCACTCCATCCAGGTGTGCCAGTCAGAGAAACGATGCAGCACGTGCAATTTAAAGCACCACTCAATGATCCATACGCCCAGGACAGAATCTCTAAGAAAAAGAGGATATGGACCAGGCCAAGAACCGCAGCCTACTCACAGCAGCCAACAGCCATCAACCTCCCAGCAGTGAGGTGATGACGTGCCATTTCCACAGCCGACTCCAGATCACACCCATTCATCTAAGCAGACTACTCACCAGGTAACTCATCATCATAGTCAACTCTCTGCAGTCAACTCTAATTATGTTTCAGTCAATTCTCCGAGTGGTGGTGTGATCACTCAACATGCAGACAACTCAACGATTAATGGTGATGAATCATGTCAATCTACATGTGCTGACAGGAGTAAAGAATGCTTCTCTGATGACTCGACGGAAAGGATGACCTTAGCACATGAGGTTTCGGCTTCAGGAGGG